TTGGTATCCGACACGCCGAGCAATGTCGGCGGATTTCTGGGGTAGGCACAAATATGCAGTACCAGTAAATGTGATTTATTGTGGCCATTTGTCGCACCTCCCCCCCTTTGTGGACCTTCATCAAGGGACCAACCCCCCGCAATAGGCACTGTGCCCAGAAAACAAATGTTATCCTCGTGTTCCCCATCCAAAGGCTTCATTTCTCTTTTGGATTTCTGGTGGTTTCCCTGTTTACAAGAGCGAGAGGGGCATCAACTCAAACCACACACCCCTAGCCTAGCCCAGCCCAGCCCAGCCAAGCCCACCCCCACACACACACACAAACCAGACACACACACACACACACACCACACACGCCATAGTCACACACCTAGGTTTGCCAGTAGTGCCCTTTTGCCCTTTTTTGGGGGAGGGTTACCCTACTAAAATAGACTACAGAAAAAATCGGGTACCAACTTATGCTAAGCTTTCTACTAGGGGACCAAGACACACACCACACACAAACCACACACCACAGAGATGTATGCCTGGCAGCCCCGGGCCAGGCCACGCCCAGCAATCCTGTGGTCAAGGTAGGGATGGGCCCATGACGCTGGCTGTTGTTGTTTTGGCTTCTTGGCTGTTTAGTTGGTTTCGTGGCTGGTTGGATGCTTGTTTGGTTGGTTTCGTGGCTGGTTGGTTGTTTAGTTGGTTTCGTGGCTGGTTGGTTGCTTGTCTTGATTGGTTGGTTGGTTGGTTGGTTGGTTGGTTGGTTCGTTGGTTGGCTTCAATGCGAAACTTTACGCCCATGAATGGTTGGTCATGTTTTAGGAAGGTGCTCAGCTGGACAGTGTTCCCCCAAAACCCACTTGAGAGTGATTTTGAGGCTAAGCCTAGAAGTCTACCCTTGTTCTTGGTACAATCATTGCTCGGCGTGTTTGACCGTTTTTTTTTTCTTCTGGTCCTACTTGTTTTAGTGCACAACTTGACACAGCTTTCAAAGATGAGAATCAGAAGGCTCCGCCTAAACCGGCAGTTCCTCCATCATGTTCATCGTTACATAGGTCATCCGCTTCAGGCGTCATCAACAAGCTTGTCCAAAACAGATAAAAATGGGCCCAAGACTCAGTCAACGCTGAAGAACCAGCTGCATATTTCTACTGCTGCTTTGTTTCCTAGAGTTTCCATTTGCCATTTTGCTTGGTGACCATATGGTTTTCTTCAAGAACTCAACTGCCATCAGTCGCCCGGGTGGAGGAATCCGAGTTTCTACCTCCTGTATCCATTGTGAAGGTGAGTTGCAAATGAATCCTTCAATTGCGGACTCCCCGGGACGGACAGATGCGTTGGTCAGTCCCCCCTTTTTTGGAAGCGGCCGTAAATGGAATGACAGATAGCTCCTCTACAGATTCCCTAAAAATATTGCAAGGAGCAAGTCATTTGCGGTTGCTTCACTTGCAATATGCTGGGAGTCCACCGTCTCCAGGGGCCCTACCCCCACCTCCGCGGGTTGGAATGGGACATTTGCACACGGTTTCCTCTTGGAAGGGTGGTTTTGCTTTGAACATCGAGCACCAACAAGGCGCGTGCCTCAGTTTTACATTGAAATCCAGAAAGGAGGCCTGTGAAGAAAGGCGCCTTGTGGATCAAGTCGCCATGGGCCATAGGGATTCTATTTTGGATAGCCTACTTTGGTATCGCTAAGAAGCGGCTATTCCCAACACGTGTTCTTTGGTTCCACCGTTAACCCTTCACCTTAAAAAGCGTTCCTCGCGTGTGCTCTTAGTGATGAGAAATCGGACGTGTCCCCCACCAAAACGCGCACGGCTTGCAGCGACCGGTCAGTTCCACCTGAGAGGGGGCGTGCCGTGAAAGAACCCAATATGGAAGTGCAGGTAACCGCTTTGGCAGACAAGTTCTCCCAAATGAATTCACCTCCTGAGTTCCTGGACTTTAAGCTTGGGAAGACCATTTTAGCAAGCATTTGAGTTGAAAATCCGCAGTTACTTGTTTTGGCCCATCCACTCGATCGGAAGTGAGCTAAAGTGCAAGGGGGCCTTGCGACCTGGATTCATGATAAAGGCGCCGAAGGCAAACCCACCATTTCACTCACTTTGGGTATGTCTCCAGATAGAACCCTGTTTGGGGTGACTTTAAAGGGAAGCCCTTCGGGGGCAACCAAGAAATGGTCGTTTGTTTGGAAGATACCCTTGTGTTGGTGTTTCGAAGGAAGCCCAAAAGGAAAACCCAGCTCCATTTTGGGGGATCCCCAAAAATGACCCCCCCCCCATTGTTTGGAGGGCTTTGTTTTAGGCGAAAGCCGCTTGTTGGCCGCTTTCGGCCAGCTTGCGCTTCAGGCCGTGCCTGCACCAGTGCCCAAGGCGCGCTGCGCAAAAGTCGCGCCGCGAACCTTGAGCAGCGTGCAAAGCCGTGTAGGCGGTTTCAGTAAAGCGATGTTCTATATATTTTTTTGCTATTGTTGTCTTTTTCGCCGATATGTATTGGCATTGTTATTTTCCGTGTTTTCTAGTACCTGGGTTTCACGTGGCTTGCGGTAAGGCCTATGTAAACCGTTTTAAAAATGATGGTAGAACAAACACTGGTTTAGGGCACCGCTCAACTAGCCGTTTGTTTTCTTTTCTCATGGACATTGTCGGGGAGTCTCTGATTTTTTCAACTTGGGGTTGGGTGGTTGGGCAATTGGCACAATGCCTTCCCTGCCTCCCCCATGTTGGTTTGATCTTCTTTTACGCGCAACGGACTTGTACCATCTAACGGAAGGTGAGGCGAAGCGCTTGTGCCATGTTGTTTGTTTGGCAATACTGGAATCAGCCAGGGCTCAAAGTCCAACTTACCTCCGGTTTCATTGGAACGCACTCGTCTTGGGGGATAGATAAATAGGTCCTACATTCAGGGTGGGGCACCAGCTTGGATGCGGCTTCCTATGCCTTCAGTTTGGCAGCACATGATTTTGGTTTGCTTCCGCTGGATGAGGCTGGCAAGCCCGAACGAAGACAGCCGTAACTGGCCTTGTACCATACTCCAATCAAATCCACTCTAAGCCGCTCGCCCAACCACCCGTAAACCACTCCTAAACAACCCCCAAAGACACCAAGCGAAGCCTAAGCTGACTTTTGTTCCACCCTGATTTTACGCTAGTTTCCTACACACCAAACCCAACTTCCGAACCCATTTTGAATCATCCAATCATGCGCAAGCCACGTCCGAAAGAAATCCAAAACCCACTCCCATCTGGGTTTGTCTTTTTTGAATGTGCCCTGTTCATTGGTTGGAAACTTTTAAAGTCAATCCAACAGAAACATACATGCTGGTGGTCATTTTGCTCAGTCCCATACCCTGAAGTGGGGCCCTTTCGCGAAGCGAAGCGGTGGCCTTAGGCATGGGGCAAAGGCGAAGGCTTCCTTGGCACCTTCGGAGCTACACTTCGCATTTTGCCTAGGGATGTTCGGACCTTAACTTTTTGATAACACTTTTTGGATGTTTTCCGTGTTAAACCACTAAAAGTTATAAGCTTTTGGTAGGGGAGCAGAAAGCAACCGAGTACAGGTACCAAGGGACCCAGGAAACATTTTGGGTAACACCTCAGCCCACTTGGGTTCAGCTTTCCGTTTGTGCTATGTCAACCCTCAATTTGGAGGGATTAGAGTGAACCCCTGGGCTTGTCTCCGAGAGAACCCCCCATTTGATGGTTTCCGAAGGAGCCTAAGTTTCCAGACACCTGAGTAGGCCTTCCCATCTTGGCAGCACGCAGATGCTGAGGGTTGTGACTCCGAAACTTGCGCACCCTTCCCCGTTTGATTCTACCCCCCGCTTTCAAGTCTTCCATGTTTATTTTGACTCACCCTAAATCGGCCATTGGAAGGTCTTACCCGGCTTTCATTCCGGGATGGCCCGGGCATCATTTTTTGAGGGTGCCCCTTAGGGCATCCAAGCAAAGGCTTCAAGTTCTGTTTTGGGACCCCTTCTTTTCTTTTTATGGCAGAGTGAAAGTAGATGGCGGACTTGAACCTGTTCGCATGTGTCCAAGTAGAATTTCCCTGTTCCTCAGGGTCCCTTGGTACCTGCTACAGAAACTTCGACGAGACCCGCTGGGGTCGATGAATGCCGTGTCCGCAGGCGGAGGTGGCTCCTCCAAAGGCCCGGTGGGAGGCTGATGTTTGGCTGGGGGCTCTTCCGAGAACATCTAAGATTCCAGGATTGATTTAGTTTCTTGTCAAGTTTAGTTCTTTAGTTTCCTGGATGTGTTTTTATTTGTTTGTTCAGATTGACTAAACATGAACTAGAATGTGAAACTATGCTTGGTCACGTCTGGGAATCTCATTGCGGCCTCAGGACGGACTCGGTTCTGCCAAATTAGGTCCCCTTCCTTTTCTCACGGGCCATGGAAATCTAAGAGGAAACCTCCCACAAGCGGCACTTCTTTAAGTTATCTTCCAACACTTTCTCGCCGCTGTGTTTTTGGAAGCATGGAGTTAACAATGTTGGGTGAAGGCCGCCCCTAAACATTGGGGGGTTCAATCAAGGAACACCCAGACACAGCGAAGGTCAGAGTTGGACCTTGAGTAGTCATAAAGAAATTGGCTGTTTGGGGCCTCAAATGGTTTTGCTGGCTCCGGATGGACTTAGCATTGGTTTTGTATTAATTGGTATTAGTTTTAGTATTTATTATTATACAGTTTAGTATTCGGTTAGTCGGGCGTGGGATCATGGTTTTCTCACCCCCGAACGGGCAGCCATATTGTTCTTACAAACAAACCATTAAACAAAGTAAGTGAACTTCCTCTCCCTTATTTTTATAAGGTGGGGAACAATGTCGGGAAGACGTGTTTGAGTTGTCTCCCCTTTGATGATTCGCTATCCACCAGCTTGGGAGTCATGCTCGCAACAGCGGCCCACGCAGACTGTTTGTTCGCCTCGCTGAGTTGAAGCCGCAGTAGGACGAAGAACGCGGACCGGAGACACGGTGCTGGCGTCTAGACCGAAATGATCGCAAATGGTCTTGGTCTTGGGATGTTGGCCACCCCACCCACCGGTTGGCTACCCGAACGCTGCAGATAACTAACTTTATGGTAAAAGGGATGCAAGCGGAATCATGAATCACAAGATTCTGCAGGTAGGCAGGCTTGGTGTCATAGTCACTGGGTTGCCGCGCAGTACTGCGTCCGATGTGATCCCATGAATTACTGGCATCGCTTTGATCAGCTTTGGTGTCCGGAGTGTATGTATAGGCAAGGGTGATGTGTGTGCAGACTTTCCTGCAATCTCCTGCCTTAAGCAAGAACTATCCTGGCTTTACCGAATTATGATATCGCCCAATGAAGGGCAAACAATGCATCTTGAATATCATTGGGGCCCTTGAGAGCGTGTGTGTGTGTGAAGTTTTGTGGAAGGAAGGGTGGCGGTGTGTGTGTGTGTGTGTGTGTGTGTGTGTGTGATTTTGTCTGTGTGTTTCTCTCTCTATCTCTCTCTCTCTCTCTCTCTCTCGGGCGTGCGGCGCGTATTTTGCTGCTGACTTGGAAGGCTCTTGAGGGTCTAGGTAGAAAAACAACAACACACTGCCTCCTAACTACTGAGCCCCGGTTTGAAGGCCGCCTGCAGTCATTTGGAACTGGTTGGCAACGAATTTGGCCTGGTCTATCAAACACTTGCTGGATCCTCACATGGCTATGGGGGGGCCTTTTCCAAATCGCTGGATTCATGCCGGTTCCCTTTTGCAGTGGACGAAGCGGGATGCATCTCATGCTTGGGTGCAACTATGGAGCTTGGAATGGGTCGAAATTGGGGGTAAGTAGATCCTCAGCAGGCACTTCACCCGTTTCATTGTCGGACATCTCGCAGTAATAAGTTTTTGTTCTTTGGAGAGCTGCATACAGCATCTTCTGAAAGCGGCGCTGTTTAGAAGTCTGGATACTACAGCACGACAAGGGACCCACAAAACACGATCCATTCCAAAGGTTCCGGTCTCATTTGACTCCAAAATCCGCTTTGTCAGGGGCCGCCTCAGAACCTGGTTGGACATGAATCCCGAAGTCCTGCAGGCGCCGATCCCGGCGACAGTCCCAAAGGCGCCGATCCCCAAGGCAGGGATCCCGCGGTGCTTGGCGCTGGTCGTGTTAAAGGTTGAACACCGAAATGAAGGAACCCTCAACAAAGATAAAAGGATGTCTGACTCCGAAATTGGGGGACCCCCATTGGCGGGCTTTCCTGTTGCTACCCTCAGAAAGGAGGCACCCATTTCTATCCCCAGTCCACAACACCCCGGATCCTTCACTCGCAAACCCTTGTGGCCACTGAATTTGCCTGCGGAGCCAAGGCAAAGAGAATGTGCGACAAGGGCCTAATTATACATGGAGAATGGGGCTGTGAGGTATTTAGAGCCAGGTTTTTCATTGTCATAAGACAGACATATGCGTGTGCGTGTGCCTGCATGTGCGTGTGCGTGCGCGTGCGCGTGCGCGTGCCGTGTGCGCGCACGGCGTGCGCGTGGGCGTGCGCCTGTGCGTGTGCGTGTGCGTGTGCGTTTGCGTGTGCGTGCCCTTGCACGTGCGCGTGCGTGCGTGCGTGCGTGCTTGCGTGCGTGCGTGCTTGCGTGCGTGCGTGCGTGGGTGGGTGTTTGTGTGTGTGTGTGAGTGTGTGCATGTCAGAGTACCTAGCATCACTAGCTTTGTGCGACATACAATTTGCCAAATCGCGGCTTTCCCCTGCAGAAAGTGTTCCCAAAAAATTGAACATTTTGAGGGGCTCAGACATTTCCTTAGGGAAACCGCCATTTGGAGTGTAATTGGTTTTGAGGATGACACTTCATTGGGCCAAGTTTCAACAGCAGCCAAGACAACAGCAAGCTTCCAGCATGTTGGTGGGAATTGATTATGTCGAAACGGGGCAAAGCCACGTTGACGCGAGTCTGTCAGTTTTGCAGGTCTTTTCAAGGCATGCCCACCGGCAAACCACCCATTTCGGAGGATGCCGTTTGTGGACATACTCACAGCCCACGTTTCTGGGATTGAGGAGTTGATTCCACTTCTGTCGTACTTGCAAGGAAGGATCAAGTTTTGAATGGAGGATTCGTCATGCACACGGTCTTCTATTGGTACAGACGTTGCGCAGGAGATTTCCAGCTTTCCTCACACAGAATTAATCTCAAGTGTCCTTTGCTAGATCGCAAGAACCTCCCCTAGATTTTGTTGTTTTGCGGTGTGATCCAAGCATTGGGTATGTGTTGGTTTCACTTTAAACCAAGCTCAAAAACAATAAAAGGGGCACCGTAGCCTCAAAACCGTACCGCTCATGGAAACCCGATTCATTCCCTTGACAGGCTGCCACGTTCACAGCCAGCGCCTCATGTGGGGCGAGGGTTTGAGTCCTTGTTCAACCATTTGGCTGTGTGTGTTTCTTTTGGGAACCTTTCCTGGTGGTTTGAAACAGAAGCCGCAAGGACAACCACCATTTGGGGGGTCCACTAAAAGAACGCACCCATTTGTTTGTTAATCCAAACAAAGC